AAACTTTTTTTTAGATTTAGTCAAAATAAATAACTTTTACCTGAAATATTTTTTCATAAAATGACAAATAAACTTTCTACAGCTATATAAACAATTAAATTGTTAATAACAATTTTCCTGACCCGATTTCGTAAAATTGAGTTGCAGATTCGAATTCAGTGTGAAAAAATACGTGCAAAAAATACTATAAAATACATTAATCTGGAAAATCCGTAGGCTGATTCGTAGGGGGCGGGGGGTGTGTGAGGGGTGGGGTCAAGTGGGGTAGTTTGATAATCAAAAATGTGGTTGTTTGGGGTCGGTGTTGAGTTCATTAAAAAAATAAATTGTTTTACATGCAGAAATCAGTTAAATCGCCCCCGCTACTTGTAGGCTGTTTTTGAGGGGGAAGGGGTGGATTTGGGGCTTTGTACACATTGAGACTTTTGATCTACATCTTAAGAACTTTCAACCTGCGAAGTTTCAAAAAAATTGGCCGAAACCCACTTCCCATAAGAAAAGTGCGGGGTCCAATAATTATTAAACAGTGAAAAAATTGGAAAAAATTCAATTTTTTTTCTCATTTTTTCAACACAGTTCAAAAACTAGTCATTTTAGAGAAAAATTGAAGAGGAAAAAATGATTCGTAATTAAATTTTATACGTAATATTTCCAAATAAAAAATTAAATTCAATATAATTATTGCAAATATAGCAAAAACAACAAAAAAAAGTGAAAAAAATTACAATATATTTGCGATTTTTTAAAAGTACTTATATTACAGGTAGGAATATTTTTGATGTAATAAAACATCATACCAATTTTCGTTAAATTCGGTCCGATAGATTTCGAGTAATAATTTTGCAATCAAGATTTTTGAAAAAAAATTGAAATTTTTGCGAATTGAACTGAACCTAAATTGAAACTTCTAGATACGTGAAGATTTTATCACATAAAAAAGGGCACTCAAACTTTAAAATGCGCCCAGAAAAATTGAAATCCGTTAATTAGGAGAGCCGTGGTAATTGTTTAAAGGTATGCGTAAATTTTGCGCTTATAAACAAATAGAGTAACTTTATAAATTCATTATAATTATTATCTTTTTTAAATTATGCTTTTAAAGTACTCGGAAATACGCTTCTTTAAAAAAAAACGTGGTGATTCGTTAATTGGTTCCAGAGTTATAGTCGATCAAAGTTGACCGGCATTTGAGTCGTAACTACGAGGTCTGAAGGTCTGTTTTTTAAACAAATACCTTTGTCATTCCGAGTACTTTCCGGGAGTGAATTTGCAAAACTTGCGCCTATATTTTAAGGTCCAAGTTTTGTTGTAGTCTCCTATCCTCTATCCTCTATCCTCTATCCTCTATCCTCTATCCTCTATCCTATATCCTCTAAAATGTAATGATTTTTTTTGTCGAAACTCATTATAGACACATTGTATATTGTGTTGAAAACATTATATCAAGGTCCATTTCTGAGTCCAAACGGCATTTTGAGAAACTCGTTATGTCCATTATCTGTTGAGAATGCCATTTCATTTCTGTTTTATGCTATCCACTGACTAAATCTGATGAAAAATATTGATTCCGCTTAATCTGTCCGAAATGTCATGTCATATGTATTGGGTATATGATACATCTGTTTACTAACTAAATTCAAGATATTGATGTTATTTGATTCTAACTACAAATATGCATACATTTAGGTAAAACTAAATTTATTGTTGTATCATAATTAACTAAAAATCGGCACATAAACAAAAACAGTAACAATAGTAAATAAATAATTTAAAACATTTGCTTAAGACTATACAAAATATCACGAACAAGAGGACGATTATTTGGATCTGCGGCCCAACAATCTTGATACAGTTTTGAATAATCGTCTGTAGCTATCACATTCTCAGGGCGACTATTACATTTTACCACCTGAAACAGTTAAAAATTTTTCATAATTAAAAACATACAGAAGATCTGGGTAGTTTAATTTTTGCTTTGTGTTTAACTAACTCTTGTCTCCCCTACCTTATATATTACAGTTTCTACATTGTCTATTCCACAATATGGAGAAATCCTGGATTTCAGTTGCCACAAAACTATTCCCAAGGAATAAACATCGCATTTCTCAGTAGGCGTTTTCCCTTGTAATAGCTCTGGAGCAGTGTAAACAACCGTACCCTAGAAAAAAAATTGAAAGAATTTTTGTGACTAGAATATAATTCCAGCTGTATACTTGATGGTTAAATTTTTCTGTTTCTGTTACCAGCACAGAATTTCCAAAATCGCAGATTTTGCACACGTTTCCAGCCACCAGGATGTTCTGCGGTTTTATGTCTAAGTGAAGAACGCCTTTTCCATGAACAAAATCTAACCCGTTGCAAATATCCATGGCAAAACTTATCATTCTAGCTTCGATTTCGTAATTATCATATTCCAGCAAGGTCTGGAGTTGCCTGGAATTTGGGAAATATTCCATGATTATCAAGGAGAAGTTACTTTCCGGGTCCTCTATTATATCTAGTGTCCTTACGATATTCTCGTGGTTTAAATCTAAAACGTTTCTTTCGCCCAAAATGGATGCATTTTTCACTACTTTAACTGCCACTATATCTCCTAAAAAATATATTAGGATAACGACTTTAACCTCATATTTCTTCCTTTTAATGTTACCTTTGTGTATGCCTCTTATGACTCTCCCAAACGATCCTACACCTAACAAGGTGTGGTTGTGATTCCCGTCTATACCATTTTCAAAAATATTCTTCTTGTTCGGTGTATTTATAACAACATCTTTTGTTGCTATTAATTCTCTGTTAACGTCTGTGTAATCTGAGATTTTTATTTGTATGGGTTCTTCAAATTGTTTCGAACTGGAATACTGAGAAAATTCCAATCTCTTGGCAACATGGCAAATCCTACAAAATGCGGTTATTGTTTTTTTGTTAAAATTTTCTAATTTTCTTACCTCTTTGCCTCTCCGGAAGAGACTTTTAAGAAGTTATCGAATTTTTTTGGCGCCGATAGCAATTTTGGCGATAGAGGCGATAGAGGGGACAAAGCTCTAGGAGATAACAGCGCTTGTAAAGATTTCAAAGGTGTGCCCATTTTTAAATTTAATTTCAGTCCTTAACACTTACTTGTTTATATAGTTCGACACTTTACTGACAAATTCAACATCGAAGTATATCTGAACAAAAAACTGTTTCTGTAAAAAGCAAATGGAAGTAGATAAAGGTTTTATATTGACGATAAGTTTTGAAACATTGCATATAATGCCTATATTTTCAAATTTATAACACAAAAATGGCAGATACATTGTTCAATATAAGAACAAAACTGGTTGTATATACATATTAACTTCTGTCTGTTTCTGTTTTAGTCTGACAACTTCTAAATTGCCTCTTTTAAAGTAAAGTGCTTTCATGCATTTTTATATAGGTACCCCCACAAAACTTGTTTTACCCGCAGGGCAGTTGCCAGTTTGCGAAATGTTAGAGTAAAAATATCAATGTAATGTGCCCTCTTCAAATTGTAACTAAAACAGATTTTTTTAAAGGAATTTCAGAGATACTATTTTAAGCCTGAATTTTTTATATATGTTGGTTTGAGGTATATGATAACAATAAGTGAAAGTAATTTTTTTTTCAACCCCCGGCCAGGGGTGAAAAATGCTAAAATAAAGGGGGTGTTTAAGATAATTCAAAAGGGGTAAGAGCTAGAAAAAGTTGTAGGGTATAAAATTCTACATGAAAATGGTCTATTGACTTTTTCTTGTGCTATTAAAATTAACAGAGTTAGGGTGGCTAGAAGTTAATTGATGATTTCAGACATTTAAAAAAATCACAAGCCGAAAAATGAACGAATTTTATATATTTTTTCAATCTACTCTAAAAAATGTAAACTTTCGTTTCAGAGAAATAGGTTTTTTTAATTTTTAATAAAAAAGTTAAAACAATTTCAATGTTTTAATCGTTAATTTTTATGATTTAACACTAAAACAATTTTTTTCTGCCATTCAATTAATTATTTAAAATAATGAAAAGTTGCTTTCGAAATTTTGCATTATGACAAAGATAAAAAATCACGTTCGCTTTGTGAAATTGTTATAACTTTTTTATTAAACATTAAAAAATATATCTAATTCTCTGAAAAGATAGTTTAAATTTTTTAGAGTAGATTGAAAAAAATATATACAATTCATTAATTTTTCTGCTTATGATTTTTTAAATTTCTGAAATCATTCCTTAACTTCTAGCCACCCTAACTCTGTTAATTTTAATAATATAGGAAAAAGTCAACAGGTAATTTTTATGTAGAATTTTATACCCTACAACTTTTTTGAAAAACTTTTTTTTCTAGCTCTAACCTCTTTTGATTTATCTTGAAAACCCCCTTTTATCATTTTTCACCCCCTGGGTGAGGGTTGAAAAAAAAATTACTGTCACTTATTGTTATTATATACCTCAAACTAACTTATATAAAAAATTAACCAAAATTGCGATTTAAAGACCCATTTAATTGGACTATAAAGGTGTTGATAATAATAATTATTTGCATCGAGTAAAATGTAGGTAGAATACAATTTTCTGCTGGAAAAATATTCAAATGATGAAGTCAATATAGGCCAATTATATGGTGCAGGCTTTGCTGATTGAAGGTAACGAATTTCTTATGCTGAATGGCAACAAAAACTTTTTTTTCGTTTTTCAAGAAACCACTTTTTTAACTAAGCGTAAACATAACTCAAAAAGTTTTCAATGAATCGACTTGAAATTTTGTACAGAACTTCACAATAGCATACCTCTGCGAATATCGTTGAGGTTTTTCGATTGATTAACATTTTCATTGTTATTAACAATTTAATGTCAAGTTTTTCGCCTTTTTTCGATACTTTTCCTCTAAGTGTTCACTAAATCAACAATTACTAATATTTTTCAATTTCCTTACGACGTTCCCTAGCTTTTAGTATACAATATCAGAAAATTTTGGTGTTTCTGTTCCAAGGTCATTCGTTGGTAAGAAACCTTTNCATAGAGTAAAATGTAGGTAGAATACAATTTTCTGCTGGAAAAATATTCAAATGATGAAGTCAATATAGGCCAATTATATGGTGCAGGCTTTGCTGATTGAAGGTAACGAATTTCTTATGCTGAATGGCAACAAAAACTTTTTTTTCGTTTTTCAAGAAACCACTTTTTTAACTAAGCGTAAACATAACTCAAAAAGTTTTCAATGAATCGACTTGAAATTTTGTACAGAACTTCACAATAGCATACCTCTGCGAATATCGTTGAGGTTTTTCGATTGATTAACATTTTCATTGTTATTAACAATTTAATGTCAAGTTTTTCGCCTTTTTTCGATACTTTTCCTCTAAGTGTTCACTAAATCAACAATTACTAATATTTTTCAATTTCCTTACGACGTTCCCTAGCTTTTAGTATACAATATCAGAAAATTTTGGTGTTTTTGTTTCAAGGTCATCCGTTGGTAAGAAACCTTTCCGGCCATACATCCCCTTGAAAAAAGGTGTAGTTGCTTGCTATTTTGAATCCAAATCGTTTGAAAAAATTCACTATACTGCCTGGAAACACGTACAATAAAGCCTTTTGCTTCCTGACACTATATCTTGAAAAAAAATCCCGAATTCACCTTTTTCTCGTTACCCCGTACATAACTAAAAATTTTCGGAAGAGTAGGCGTGCACTGTTTCCATTTGCTGTCTCGCGAGCAGAATTTCTAGCAGATTTCCAAGAATCGTAATGGCGCTCGGGATATCAGAATAACGATTCATTAAATCCTTCCGCCGGAGCAATTTGTGTTTAAATTTAAAGGTTTTGCGGGCAGAGATGGAAACAGTGCAGCTGAGCACTCGCCGGACAAAAGCATTGAAATGTTTTCCAATTAAATTTATTTTAGCATCATTACAGTTGAGTCGGGCTTGGTTAAGTTCTCAGTTATAGGGATGAATGCAAGAGCCACATTATTTCCGGTACTGGAAGCAACTAACCCGGCCTTCGGTTGCTAGCTCGGGAGATTTAGATTTCCAGTTTATGCACGAGTAAAAAATGAAGGAGAAATGCTGGAAATTCATTCAAAATTCGTATTAAAAACTGTTACAGAGCGTTATTTTTATTAAAAAAGATAAACAAAAGTGCCATTACCTGAAAACAGTTGAATTTGGGGAGTAAGAAAAAAGAATAATTAATAAATATACAGGGTTACCGCTATGTATAGAAACGGTCGGGTATCTCCTAAAATGTGAAAGCTATCGAAAAATCATAAGACACAAACGCTTTAGGGTTTTTTAAAATCTATTACAATAAAGAAGAATTAAGTACACAAGACACTCAAAAAGTCATGACAAGGTTGCTTTTTTTAATGGAGCACCCTGTATATCATTTTAATTCTTCTTAAATTCTAGACAATATTCATGTACCAAAATTAATCGTTTTCGAGATATCGAACTTTGAAGGTAACTTTTTACTACTCTGAAATTTATAAAAGAAAAAGGGTCCCAAATAATGGACATTGATTTCATTTTATTATAATTTTTTTACAGAAAATAAAAAAGCGTAATAGTTCAGGGTTAATAAAAATGCATGAAACAAAAAAAAAATTTTTTAATGAATGTCCTGGATATTTTAAGTTTCATGAAAACAATAGTTATGCCATAATAAAAAAGAGAGAAAACAAGTTTTAACAAACAACAAATATTTTCTTTCGAATTTCAAAGTTGCAAAAATGTTTAAAAAACTTTAGTTTTTACTTATATCTTGGAACCTATGTATTTTGGAAGAATATTGAAGAGGAAAAAAGTTTCAGAACTGAATTTTGCACGATATACTGTAAGTTAAAAATGTTTAAATTTATTACCGATCTTGCAAAATAGCAATAATTGATGAAAAAAAAGGCAAAATAATCAAGTTTTTTAGATAATTTTTTTTTAAATATTTTAATTTCTCCGAGGGCATTCTAATTTTAGTAAAAAAAACTTTAGAGTATAATAAAACAACACACCAAATTTCATTAAAATCGGTTGGATAGTTTTCGCAAAATAATTTTTTGAAAAAATTTTGAAAAAAAATTTTCGAATATTCCAAATGTTGCGCAACCTCAAATAAAGCATCTAGATACTTGAAAATTTTTTCACATGGAAAAAACCGCTCAACCTTTCAAATAGTTTTTGAAAAATTGAAATCGGTTGATTAGGACCTCCACAGTAAATTTTTAAAGTTAACACACCTTTTTTTATTTTTAAATACGTAATTAGATTACATTTATCAATTTGCAATTTAGTCTTTTTTCAAATATTATAATTTGAAAGTACTATTTTTTCTTAATTATATCTGTATTTAACCAAAAAAAATAATTTCCAAATAATTTTTTTTTAATATGTTTAAACAAAAATTATGTAAATAATTGTAATAATTATAACTAAATACATTCATATTCAGAGTGTTTGAAAAAATGCAATAGCATATGGTAAAATATACAGTATATTTAATGCATAAATAATAAACTTTGTTGATAACAAAATATGTGAAAATTAGACAGTTGGCATTACGATATTCGAATTCCTTGGCTCGCGAGACATCGGATTAAAAAAAATATCGAAATTGGTCCACCACATATAACATGACATTCAAAGAATTTTCTTCATTTGTAACGCTTACTGGTCTTCCACTTTTTCGTTCCACACCTCTAGTTTCATGAAAACACTGCAATGTTTTTGAAACAGTTGATTTAGAAATATGTTCCCGATGTATTTCTGACATGCGTCGTCAAGATAACCAGTATTAAACAAAAGAACGACGCGGCGTTGTTATGGAGCTAGAAACTTTCAAAGATAACTTGATGGACTACAAAGTTAATGGACTAAAATATTTTTGTGTAATTTATAAGAAAATGATTTTCAAAGTTCGATATCTCGAAAACGGTTAAATTTAGGCACAAGATGCGCTATATGAATTTTGCTTAGAATTTCGAGAAGAATTGAAATATGGAATAATATCACAGGGTGCCCCATTAAAGAAAAAACAATTTTGTTTCGTCATGACTTTTTGACTGACCCTGTATATTTAATTTTGTGAAAAATACCCATGATACACCTGTACTACAATCCTGCAACCATACAATGCAGCGAGAAGTAAAACCGCTGCAATTTTATGTGCTCTGTTCAGATTTCCATCGAAATAAAAATGGTGAAGTGTCTCACCATTCAAACTATGTGCTTCAACAAACATTAATTTTAAGTATTGAAGTTTACGTCGATGGTACCGGTGAAAATGATATCGTTTGAATAATGGCACACACAAAATGTTACAAAATGTAGTTGTTGAGTCACCATCAACATCAGGAAAATTGTTCTCTAAAAGATTCAGATGTTTGACGTAGAAAAAATTGCTTACATAATTTGTTATAGAAATTACATTATTTTATAACCAGTATGTTTAATAAATGTGTTAATTGGAGTGCTTCCGTTCCATTCAAAACAACTTTTTTCGCTGCGAGAGAAAATCACAGCTTACAGAAATAAAAGCCCTTAAATAAAAGTCAAAAGCTCAAACCGTACAATTTTATCATCATCTCCTCTAAATAAACCTAATTGAAACGAATCACGGTCGGCTTTGAATGCGAAATGAACATAATTGAATGGTTTTTCCTATTTCCCTGGCCCTCGCGCCGCGTGGTGGGGATTTATATACCAATCAGAAGCCATTATACACGCCAGTGGGGAGTCTCGTAACGAATACGGCTCTCAAATGATATGTTAATTGTCCCGTAACTAGAGGGTAAACTACCCGGTTTGTGATGGGGCGAGCCCAGTGGCGTAGGAGGTGATTTAAAAGAAAATATAACAGGTGGCAATATTAAACCGAAAACGTACTTTTTTAACTTTTAAAATATACAGATTGTTTCTGGACCGTCAGCCAATTAGAGAAGCCCTTTACGCATGTAGAGAGTGCGAAGCATTCTGGTCGTGCACGTGCACAAGATGCACAGGGTTTTTATACCATCAGTTGATTAATAAAAGTTGCGTCTGTTAAACGTCAGCATATGTGAACCAACTATTTTATTCCGAACTTATTACACATTTCAGAAAATTGGAACGACCCTTTGTACTTTTATAACTTTTACTACGCCACTGGGGTGTCGCGAAGAGGATGGAACACCAGAATGGTAACCGAGTTGTTATGAGCTGCAAACGCGCGCGTTTGGGAATAACATGAATGCCAAATTGGTTGATTTGCATGCTGATGGCGGCCAAAGAAGCTGGGATTTAGTGCACAGTCACGAAGAATGAATAATAAACAAACACTTTAATGGAAAGGCCGCGAAAGCTGTCACTGGTATGCCTTAATTGGAGATTTTGAAATGTTGAAGGGGGGTCGTCGTAACTCGCCCTTAAGTTCGACTCTAATTAGGAGAACTTCTTCGGATTCGTCGATAGTAACAAAAAAAAGGGATTGTACAGTTTAATACTAAAATATATATTGGTATTGTAAACGAATTAAAAATTAAAAAATTTCAATTAGGTACATACATGAAAATTACAACTTTTACATCAAAATTTATATCAAAATTACAAAATTACACGAAAATTACAGAAAAAAATCACAATTAACCTCGCATTTTTGAAAATATAACAAAATAGTTACCTATTTTTCTTTATCGACACCCATTTGTAGTAAGCTTACTCTTCCCTATCTTTTATTTACATTATTACGGCGTTATTCCGTTCAATTACCCTTCACCACCCCCTCGAATCTCATTGTACGCGTTCGTATTGTAAATGCGACATCTAAGGGGGGTTTGTATGTGTATACAAATTAGCAGTATCGCCAACGGTAAGTGGAGGGCGATCCAGGCCCAATTATCCTTTAATTTCGCCTTAACAAACACGTGTTACAAATCCGTCTGACAGATGGTCAGTTAACAGTCAGAAACGTTGATTCGCGACTGCTTGGCTTTGATGTATCACTACCTTATACTCGCAGGACCGGATTTCACAAAGATCTGCCCGCTTTGCGTTTTTAATTTTTACTTAATTACAGCATTAGCTCAAGTAAAATATCTTCTACGATATCGAGGTTTTAGACCCCTCAAAGCAGGTACTTAAAATACACTCTGTATAAACAGACCAATAAATAAGTAAATTACTACTTTTCGTGTTTATCTCGTTCAACGGAATTCTTAGAACATTGTAAAAATGAATGAATGAATGTCTTTAGTTACTGGAATTTCACATTTACACTAGCAATTCTATAATGTGTTATTATGCTGCTAAGTAGGCAGTGCCAACAAACGGCAACAAAAGTAGTTGCGCCTAGCTTAAATGACATTGTATTTGTATATTATAATATTTTAGGGAAATATTTTGAAAAAATGTGTACAGGAAACCATCATATTTTTTCTTCAATTGAGATCGGAAAGACTATACCTAAAGTCATTTCTCGATTTTTCACCTATTTGTTAACTGTAAAATAAAGGTCGAAAGAGGAAAAATCAGTTTTCGAAAATAGCGTTCGTTCGTTTTTTGCAAGTTTAGAAGTTGAAATTCAGTAGCCCTTTAGAACTAACAAAGTAGGAAGTGCAGAACAGCGTAATAAACAAATTGTTCCCGGGTCAGGCAAAAGCCGCTCGGGAATTCACTCTTTTTGCATTAAATAGAGCTTATTTTCACGGTAATTTAAAAAAATAGAGAAATCACCTACGCTTTTTTGTTCCCGAGACAGTTTTTTATAACGTTAATTATCAATTATTTGTCGTATAGAACCGGGATTTTAGAAACCATTAAAGAAAGGGTTAAATTTTTATTTTCAGAAAGTTTTACATTGATAGTTCATGTAATAAACACGCTAACAGCAGTAAAATAATGAACGGTTTGTATCTGGGAGAAGGAGCACCGGGCCCGCGCATGCGCGAGAACGTCGCCCTTGTCGCGCGCGAGGTTTTTTACTTGACCGTTTCAAATTCTCTTCAAAAATCCCCCTAATTTTTTCAAGTTTACAGGTTTTGTAATATAATTCGACTGAACAAGGAACTAAATCACAGCGACGATATTTATGTCTCGAATGCGAAGGATCTCTCGGGTTATGATCTTTTTACCTCGCAAGTACATCCCCGCAAAGGGCAGATGTAATACTCTCGTTAGGGTCTAATTTCTGCAAATTGAAACAGCGTCGTTGTCGCGCTGTCACAAATTACGGCCAATCAGCCTGCAATTGTGAAGGAAATGACAAGGCTTTCTCGGCGTATCTGCCCCTAAGTGGCTGCAAATCAACCACAAAACCTTTTATAAACGACCGCCTAATTCAGGGGGCACCTTATAATTTCCAATTTTCCCTTCTGATGACTTGTTTATAAAGGAACTAATTACATATTATATTATTTTCGGTTCATACGTCAACAAGTTGGAGTTTTTGGACAACGCTAAGGCTCGGTTTGTTTTCTAAATCGTTTGATTAAATTTTCTAACGTATGATATACGATTCACGGCAATAAAAACACCAAGGTCCAAAAGAAATACCTTGAGACATACGTTTTTCCTTAGAACCAATAAATTTTACATCCACGGACAAAGATCTGTGCTCTATTCATTTTATATTCAAAAGCCTAGTGATTTGTCGCTTTAACTATTTTTCTTTCTTCCTCTACTACTTACCTACTTCAGTTGCATCGTATTTTTCGCTTTGTGTTTCCTACAAATTTAATATACTTCTAAAATAAATGTTTTCAATACAAAAAATGTGAATTTATTTAATATGAACACATTATGAAGTTTACACAACAGGTTTAAAAAGTTCAGCATTTTTCTTGTTCCATTCTACATATTCCTTGGGGCAACTCAAGGTAGTCTCCATTTTTATTTTTTGGTTTACTTTCTCTGTAAAAAAATAAATAAGTTAGGTAAAGTTTTATATTAATTGTTCTGAAATAGACAATAAGTTTAATTTATATCCAGTGCACTGAAGAAACTGCAGCAGATGTCCATGGAGTAACGATTCTTACCTTTTCTTGTCCAGGTCCTGGATGGTCTCAGGTAAAGCCTTGCCTTTGGTCTCAGGCAGAAACAGCACCAAAACAGCTTCTACAAAGGCTGCCAAGGCCAATATTAAAAGTGGAAGGTGTTCCCCTATCCCTTGAAGTGAAACCACTAGAGGAGCTATCATAGAACCCACACGTGAGAACATCACGGATGAACCAACACCTGCGTTCCTGGCAACTGTGGGGAAGAGCTCTCCGGTGAAGAGGTACATAGCTGGCATGGATATCTAAAAGAGTCATATGTTACCAAAATAAACTTTTAAAAACTTAAAAAGTTTCAATTCACAAAGATTAGTGGTTGTTGTGATCTATTGTGCATGTCGCCAATAAGAGTTTAAGACGTACGAAGGTCACTTACTGATATAGCAATTATTCCGCAAGCAGCAAATGCAACCCTGGGCCAGTCCTGCGGGAAGCAACCTTTGGGAACGGCTAATATCGCCAGAAAGAACACCGAGGTTGCTATATGACTGCAAGCTATGGTAACCTTTCTGCCGCATTTACCAACTAAGTAGACACATAGAAATGTGCCGGGTAACACTATGAGTCCCCCTGTAGCTACGGTGAAGTAGATATTCCCACTCACGTGACCCAGGAATTGGGAGAACGCGAAGAAAGTTACTCCACAGATCGTCCTGAAAGAGTAAAATCCTTACACTTTCTGAATAAATACGCAATTTAATGTTTCTACCATTTTATGAAGAGTAGGGTGCTCCTTAATCGTAGTTGGGGCGTGGAGAATAGGACGAAGAAAGAAGATTTCTTCTGCCCACCAGACGAAACGTTGGATAGCTCAGTCATAATATCGTCGATTTCCCTTGTATCCTTCTTGTTAAATGTTGCAGCCTTCTGTAGGATGTCTATCGCTTCCTCACGACGGCCTACAGCTAACAGCCACCGTGGCGATTCTGGCAAGCAGCTGAAAATATGTTTTTTTCCTTAAAACATACTGAAATACTATACTACTAAACTATAATCTACTAAACTATATTCATATGTCTATATGTATATCATGATTTTCAAACTTACTAGTAGTACATAACGAAGAGGCAGGACAAAACTGATAAAGCACAATGAAACGATCTCCAGTTCCTTATAAAATAGGCTAGACCTGCCATAATAGAGTTACCAAACCCGAAAGGAATCTGGTATAATATGGGAACGATCGTCCTCCATCTTCCTCCAACTACCTCCATACACATCACGAAAGATGTGACGATGGTCCCGCCATTGAAGACAGCAAGTAAAAGTCTAGATAAGACAAAAGCCCAGTACCAGGGCACAAACGAGGCTATGATTCCAAATATTGACTGGAGAAATATGCACGCCATCAGTACTGGTTTTCTTCCTTTCCTATCTGCCCAGACACCAAAGAAGATGTTGCCTGAAATCAATAATAGTACACATTTGAAGATAGTTCGATATTGCTTTTTTACCTATGAGAATCCCCAACATAAATGTGATTTGGGATAAGTCTATCAGTCCTTGTTGACCACAGACCAGATTCCATTCGGTTACGATGCTAGAATGGAATATTGAAGTGTTGTAGCTGTAGCCATTGGAGCAGGGTACTGAGTTGTTTAGGTTACTATATTTGTCTCTCATTGAGCAGTACCCCATATTTAAGCCTTCCTAAAAATAAAGATATTAGAAGACAAAAGGATCAAACACTGGAACCTCAAGTGGTGTTATCATATCCAGAGCGAAAATGAAACGTTGGACTAAAGAAGAACAGAATTTAATGCAAAAGACAAGGGTGGTCGTTTAGAAATATGATACTAAACACAATAATCCACGAGCATTTTTCTATTAAATTATTATCTTTACCTTTCTCAAGGCTGAGTTGTCATTTGGAGTGATAGCTTGTAGCCACTGTGCGTCTGATAAATTGGCATATTCTTCTGGTTGTCTGCACCAGAACTGAGTTGGCGGTGCAAGGAACACTATGCTGAGCGAGAACCAAGCAATGGGTAGTTTGAGCAGGGCCATTAGTATGGATATTAAACATTGCCATCGTCCAAAATGACCTATGGTGGTTTCCAAGACATCATGGCTCTGGCGTCTGATACTATCCTCTGCAACTTCATCTGGAACAAGACAGAAAATGTTTTATACTGTTAATATCGGTATTAACAGTATAAAACCTTTTCTTACGGATATATAATTTGATGATCTTCAAAGTTTCAATATAGTTGTTGAGATAATGTCCAGTAAAAATGTTTACACTATTTCGAAATTATTGATATTAATTTCAATGACTCAGTAACCAATACGCGGAAGTGACCTTTGCTGAAGGTAAAAGAGTATAAACAAACAACTAATAAATTAAGTATACCACTTGTTAAGCCGATAGTGGTTTAAAAACAACAAAGATTTATTTTCCAATTGGCTGTGCATACAGGGCAGTTCACAATTAAATATTGGAAAGAGATACTTTTTTCTGTCTTTTTCTATCTAGAGAGGTGCTCTTTATCCCATTTTTCCCCCAATTTGGGTAAAGTAGGCACTGAAGAACAGAAGAAATGGCATTAAATAAGAGAATAATTAATTACTTGCCACAATGCAATCAACATTGAAATAATAATTTGGCATAAAGTTAGTTATACTAAAGTCACGAAAAACTAATTATACTCTTAGTTGAAAATTTGATAGTTCTGTTGTCAAAAATGGTATAATATTTTGTCACCAAATAAAGAATGTAATGGTTGAAGTCAAAACAAGACAAAGATCACCGAACTGTACTATTTTTTCCATGGGGTAGAGAGAATTCTTCAAAAACTACGCATACAATTTTTTAAATCGTCCTGAGTATTCTATTACTTTTTATCTAATTATTAATTATTAAAATATTCCTGTCTAAAATACCTGAACGAAAAGTGACACGTTTGAAATTACTGGCATAACTATTAATATTAGTCACAGAAACCAATGATCTTTGACCTACTGCTGCACTTGAATGAAATTAATGAAACAAACAAAACTTACCTATGTCCCTAGGCATCGAATATGTAATGTAACACTACCCACTGCCGTAAACAAATATGATTTTATTGCTTCTTCGAGAATTTTGACATTAAAAAAACGAATAATCGTTCTTATTAAAAAATCATCGTTTTAAGAAGCGGCAAAATTCCCAAATAAGTATGTTAATATGAAGACAATGCCACAGGTTACAATTTGACAACACAACGCCGTTCAAGCAACCACAGGAGAAACCAGTCCTCGAAGCCCGATGGGAGAAATTTTCATGCAGAATGTGAAAGTTGCGAGCGTGCAAATGAGCATTCGCATTTGTATAATAAACTAAATAATAATTACACACGTCCGACTATTATTAAGGCCACATCTTGCTTATAAACTGCCGGATTTTATTATTGCTCAGAGCAAAACAAGAAAGTAGATAAAAAGGCAATAAAAAATCCCTGATGTTGTAATCTTTTCCCCAGTGGCGTAGTAAGAGGGGGAATCCACTTATTTCCTACTGACTTTTTGATTATTTTCTAATAAAGACTGTTAAAATTTTGTGTCAGATACGGTTTTTCATGAAAACCATAAAATTTTTTAAAATTTAACAAGAGTAAAAAAAATTTAAATTAAATTCTGCTGTGAATTAATGTTCACTATACAGTTCCTGAAAAAAAAAAATAATAATTTCTAGCTGTCATACAATCATAATTATGTCAACTACTAGAAGTGACGAAACATAAGAAAAAAAATGAAAATTCGATTATCTCGAAAGCTATCAATATTTTAATAGGGATCATAACACAAAGTCCCGTTAATTTTTCACGTAGAATTCAATAATGCCATAAAAAATATAGGTTTCCATTTAAAAAAATTAAGTTGGCACCTGCCCAGGAAAAACTGAACACCCTGTATATGCAAATTTGTTTTCATTTTGTGCAGCTGGGGAAAGTAGGCACCTCTGTAGAAAAAAAAATTAAGTTATATCTTTTATTAACCTAGATATTGGACTTGGACGCGCACTAGGTGGACACGGTGTGTAAGTTTGGTTAAATTACAATATTTTGGACACCCCTACATGCACCTGCCCTGTGTCGGTTCTTATGCAGGTCACCCTGTATAATGTTCTCCGGCCTATGAGGAAAAAATTCCTCTGCTTTTACGATTTTACTGTAATTCTTTTAATTGTTGAAGTAAGTAAATATTTTTAAAACAGAGCTGTTACTACAAAACGTGTAACTTAATACTTTAATAGCATTTTTATAAGTTTTTTTGCATCTCGTTTATGTATAAGTAATATTTTAATAACAAATAGATGTGCGTATATCTTTTTTAATAAAGATTAATGTTTAAGAAATTGTTGCTATCTTATATTTGTTAAATAATAGTACAAACAAAATTAAAACTTGTTTGATACTGGCGCGTATTCATGAATGCAACTATGTGCCATCTAGCGGCAACTAGAAGACATTCTGTAGTCTACGAGAATTGGAAGGATATTCTAATACAGTTTTCTGTTACGGTTTTCTCTACGTCGCTAAAGTTTTGGATTACAGAACACTTTATTTTAAAAATTAAATTGAGTATAATTTTTGCAGAGTTAAAGGAATCTATGTAATAAAATACATTTTAAATTTGGTAAATAAAAGTAGAAAAGCTGCTAATAAGAAAACTAGATGGTACTGCAACAAATGTATTAAAAAGATCATACATAAATTGGATTTTCTGTTTACTGGTAAACCATAAATATTTTTAAACGTTTATTGCTGGATGTATTTTGTATAAACACCTTTAATTCAAGGTTGTATTAAAGTACCTATTTATAATTAATACAATTTCTAAAGAGTTTTCATGAAAAATGAATTTGATTCATCTACCGAACTTTTCAAGAGTCGATGGAATATTTTTATATATTTTTTTTGTTCATATGTACTGAAAACAACTAATCGAAAAAAAACGTAGTAATCCACTAATTATACAAAAGTAAAAGTATTACCTACTCACTTTTATTAATTACTGTAATAAATCATGAATGAAAACACGATTCTTCATAAAGAAATCAATCAGATATCAGATAAAGACAATCAACAGAATTTCTAATCTAGAAGTAGTTCTGTATAAGTCCACTATGGAACAGAGCCTCAGGGAAAAATTGCAAAGCCGGTATTACTAGATATGGTTTGCCGAAATAAGTAGGTCAGTAAGTCAAACCAAACGTATCTGCTACGATGTGTTTAGTAAGGCTATAACATAATGGGAGATAACGTAGTATTGCCAAGTACTTGAATCGACACTCTCATTCATACGCACGCGAAACAGGCGAAATTAATGTGATCGAAGCAAGCATTGACCTAAATTAAAATTGCCAAGAACAGCGGTGGGCTAATTTTGCATTGCAAAAAATATGAAACGTCTGGTGATACTGATGAATTTGAGCGATACTCGATCGACGTTAGTAATATGCCAATATCTACCACTTAAAGTTAAAGTAAAAAAAGAATGTTTTTGTTCTCTTAAATAACTTTAAATCTGATAAAAAGGTTAGATTTTTTATTATATGCTTGTCTTGAATATGTAATTAAATATTTAAAATAAATGTCACAAATTTCTCGAAATAAGGAAGACTTTAATCATATACAGAGTGTTTCTCGAGCAATGCCATTTGCACTTCGCTTTTGGTACCGGTAGAATTTTCCGAAATTTGTTTATAGATGTTTGAGCTTAAGAAAAATTAATTATTTATTATTATTATTATTAATTTAAGTTATTAATAATTGAAACTTGTTTAAGAAAAAATTGCATTGAAAGCGTATTTCAATAATATTTGGTTTCTATAAGGTCGAACCATTATGTGTGTATATATAGACTGCGGTACAGTTTACAAGAAAACTTGTTGAGGACCCCTGACTACGCTATAGAATCTACACAGGGTTGCCGGTGTTACACAAAACTCTTAAAATTAGATGATGAATAGCACCATGTTTCTGTAGTAACCGTAAAGGCAAATCTACAATTGATTTTATGATTTTTATACGTATACAATAGTGAAGTATATGCTTTATTAAATCAAGTGTATTGTAGTATTACACTTAAGCCAAGCTACCTTTGACCGTTTTTTGCAATGCCTTCTACATAGAAGGATAAGAAATTATAGAGTTGGAAAATCTTATAGGCAACCAGCAATACATTTTTATAGATTTTATTACAATTTGTCTAAATATGAATTAATACGTAAATAACAGACTTTCCTCCATTCTAACGCAGATTTTCTATAAAATGGACTTAAGTTTGAAACTCAAATTACTTTTTGGTGTAAAGAAGGTGTGATGCCATTAGTTTAAAAGCGGCAAATTACAATTTTTTTTACAACAAAAAACAATGTGTTTCAAACTAACTCCATTTTATAGAAAATCTGCGTTAGAATGGAGGAAAGTCTGTTATGTGTGCATTAATTCTTATTTAGACAAACTGTTTAATAAAATCTATAAAAATGTATTGCTGGTTGCCTATATGGTATAGAGCCCTCTTAATGGAAACTGCCACTTTTCCTTGTTTATGCTTCTATCAGTGTAGTGCAGAGCTATCTCCACTCTTCCTTTGTCTAACAAATACGTCATCATTTATTACTTCAAGAAATTCCAATTAAACACGGAAAAAAGTAATTTTGTTAATAACGGATTTTTTTTATAAATGTTTTATATTTATGTAACATTTCATTTGGTATTTCACCTGAGGAAACGACCCTATATGTCGCCGAATTTTATCAAATCGGAAAAGGTCAGTTAACAAATATATTTTAATTTAAGGGAAATTGGAAAGTAAATATGGAATGATTCTTAAAACGTTTTTGCGAATCAGGTTGAAATTTACATTATTTTTAAGATTTTTTTTTCCTTTAATTCGTCGAATAAAAAATATACAAACAAAAATAAAAAACGTTGGCTTAATTTTCATATCTAGAAATTGAAACTTAGTAAGATTATATCGTTAGTTACATATCGACTTTCAGATTTTAAGATGACTTTAAAATAGAAGCAAAAGAATTTGGAAATTACTATTCTGGTATATGACATGGATTGTAAGATTGTAAAACAGTAAGATACTTTTTTTTCGTCTTCAAAAGACCTACAAAACTAGCGGTCGAGCGTCAAAAAATATTGATTAGGTCAAAAGTTATAAACAGAAGAAATTTATTTATGACTTTTGAATTAAACATTTATAAATTGCGTTATTATTACTAGATTGTTTTGGCATCGCATCCTCTCAATCCTTATCACTGTCTGATAATTCACACGAAATCTGGAATGGGTAATTTGAATAGTTTACAAGTTATGGCCTTATAAACAAATTAACTAATTATTAGTCTGGACGATCCCGAAGATCTTCCACAATTGCACTGATTTTTTCATGGTAGATTTCATAATAATACATTGAAATCTATCATTTTTTACAACCTGGATTTTTTTTTATATTTTTGTCTTAGTTGCAAAATGAAATATACGACGCACGATCGTGATATAGTTATATATTATTACATATTCGGAAAGCTTATGAAAAGAGCTTTACGTTAAAAAAAATCGTTCAAAATTCGTTGAAAAACAACACAGTTACAGACTGTCAAATATATTATTTTCAAGCGAATTTCGCTTATTTAACGATAGGACTATGAATATTATCGTTTCGTGTGGGTTACTAGACAGTGACAAGGAATGAGAGGATGCAATGCCAAAACATTCTGGTAATAATAACGCAGTTTATAAATGTTTTATTCAAAAGTCATAAATAATTTTTTTTCTGTTTATAACTTTTTATCTAATCAATATTTTTTTGACGCTCGAAGGCTAGTTTTGTAGGTCTTTTGAAGATGAAAAAAAAAAAAAATACGTTACTGTTTTCTCGTGGAAATGAACGGAAAAGAGTTATAAGCGAAAAACGTGAATTTACGTAAAAATTATACAATTAACCAGTCTCTAAACAATCTTCCTCCCATTTTTATGACTGTGGAAACTAATATGTCATTGAACATAATATTTAGCA